TACCATGAAATATGTTGGATTCTTTAAAATAATGAGAGTGGACTGTATTATTAATATATTTACATTTATTTACACACACGACTATTTACACTATTTACAATTTGCATTTTCTCGTTTTTGTTTACGTTTTTTAGACTTATAGAGTCTGTAAAAATGGTCATATAGGACCTGCCCAGAATTATCTGGTGCGCTCGGTGAGGTCCGATTCGACACTGACTGTTCCCGTTGATTCACTCGCGTAGATGCCGGAAGCCACTTTACCAAAAACTTTGACAAGTGATTTTTGACACTGTTTGACACATACGCGCACACTTCCGGTGCATACCGGGAAAATTAAAATTTGAATTTTAAATTTACTGTTGGAATATTGTTTCCAACATGCTCGCGGCCAAGAAAGATTCTTAAAATTATTACAAATACTACAACCTTGTAAACTTAAATTAAACGAGAGTAAAATATATGTGCATCGTTGCACAAAATAATTAAGCGATATAGCACTTATTAAATGGCTTATAGAGCCTCAAAAATTTGACTTATAGAGTCATGTTATTACATATTTTATGAAACTAAGAAAGTTACATTATAGGTACATAGATTATGGATAGCTTATAGAGCTTAAAGGCTTGACTTATAGAGCCAAGTTATTATTTTATATAACTTAGAAAGTTAAACATAAATTATTGAGAGCTTAAAAGCTTGATTTAAAGAATCAAGTTATTATTTTATATAACTTAGAAAGTTGTACATAAATTATAGACAGCTTATAGAGCTTAAAGTTTTGACTTATAGAGTCAAATACTTCTAGATATTGCTAGAAATTATTCTACAAAAAATATTTAGTAATGGCGACTTTGAAATTTGTATTTACAAAATGTACAAATATTATAAAAAGTATTAAGAACCTAAACTATCTGAGGCAACTTAAGATCTAGGTATCTACAAAAATGTACAATTTTATGGACAATAGTAAAAACCTTAAGTTGTTAACTATATAAATATGTATAAATATGTATAAAATTGACATTGAGTCACAAGTCACTCGATGGGTAAGACGGCAATTTTTGTTACCGACCTTAAATAGTTACCTGTTCGTGTTCGAACTTCAACGACTCGAACTTTGCCATCTTTCCCAGGTATTGTTCTTGTGATTCTGGCAATCGGCCATTGAAGAGAGGGTACATTATCCTCCTTCAGCAAAACTAAAAGCCCTTCCCTTAGGTTAGGTACCGAGTGTTGCCACTTAGGCCTACTCTGAAGCTGCGCTAAATAATCTTTGTGCCACCGCTTCCAGAAGAGTTGCTTCACCTGAGTAGCCATATTCCAAAATGACAACCTATTTTCCGGAATTTCAGTCAAATCTTTTTCAGGAAAGCTTGTTATAGCTGAACCGGTTAAAAAATGACCTGGCGTCAAGTATTCTAAATCGAAAGGATCGTTTGTTAATTGAGTTAGTGGCCTAGAATTTAAAATTCCTTCCACTTGGACTACTAGAGTGTTTAATTGCTCGTAGGTCAATCTGCGCTCTCCCATTGTTCTCTTAAGGTGGTGCTTGGCACTCTTGACCCCGGCTTCCCAGAGACCCCCAAATACTGGCGAGTAGCTAGGAATAAACCTAAAAACGATTCTTTCATTTGCAACAAAATGTATTATTTTATTTCTGCTTTCAGATTCGAAAACCCGGTTAAGTTCATCTAATTGTTTCTTTGCGCCTTTAAACGTTCCGCCATTGCCGCAAAAAACCTGTGAGGGTTTCCCTCTTCTAAATATAAATCTTTTGAACGCCTCTAGGAAGTTATCGGTAGTCAAGTCCGACAAGACTTCCATGTGTATTGCCTTAACTGAAAAGCATAAAAAAAGCGCAATATAAGATTTAGTTATTATAGGTTTTCGAATTCTTGACTGTTTAGTATAAAAGGGTCCGCAAAAGTCAATACCAACATTTTGAAATACTCTTGCAGGGTTAACTCTATCGCGAGGTAACGAGCCCATAAGCTGTTGCGAACAACGAGCTTTACTTTTAAAACAAATCACGCATTTGTGTATATTTTTCTTGACTTCTCTGACACCATTTATTATCCAAAAATATTCATTAAGACTGCTCAAGACCTGTCTTTGTCCTGCGTGTAGTTCAGGATTATTTTTGAATCGTTTTTCGAGGTTTTCGAATCGTTTCAAAGCTACCGAGAAAGAATCTCCTAGATTTAAATCCTCAATATTTCTTTTCAAAGGTAAGTACACTTCAAATTTATTATTTATTTTGGACACAGTATTTTTAAAAATGTTTTCGCAAGCTTCTTGCTCACTAGAATACTCTTTATATACTAAAGGTACTTTTTCTGTTTCCCAAAATTTTGAAATTAATTCTTCCATTTTAGGTTCGTTATCAACAATACAATGAAATGAAGCTACAGCTAAACTGGACTGGATATTTTTCGAGTTGCTAGGTATGGAACCACTTACAACGTAACCCAGGTAAGTATTTTGCAAAATTAATCCATTTTTCCTCAAAAATATTTTTTCAGGTAACAAGATATCAAAAAATATATTCGCTCCCAAAAGAATTTGTATCGCATTTGGTTAATTGAATTCTAAATCAGAAAGTTTTATGTTTTTTGGAAGGTTAATAGAATTTTTACTAAATTCAAATTGTGGCAGAATGCCTGTTATCTCATCTACTATAGCGCAGGAGACATTTATTTTATAGTTTTGAACACAAGAATTAAGTGTTACGTCAATTGACTTTTTTACGTTCGTTGAATTATTCGAGACACCTATAATATTTAAATTGTTTGAAAACGTTTCATAACCTAGTTTATTAGCTAAATCTGTGACTATAAAAGACACTTGTGATCCGCTATCAATTAACCCACGAACAATCAAACACTCTCCGTTACTAGTAAAAACCTTTACCTTTATTGTAGGCAGTAAAACCGAATCAAAATTTCCATCCGAGTAGCAATGTTTTGAATGTGCTGTTGCAGCACTGCTACAGGACTGGACTTGGTCCATATCTGTGTTAATATTATTTTTGTTTTCTTCTTTTCTAGATCTATCTAAGTGTAACAAAGAGTTATGATTTTTATGGCAATAATTACATTTGAAAGAATATTTACAAGTTCCATTATGGCTATTTAGACACATTTTGCATCTTTTACTTTTGTCAATAAAGGAAACTCTATCACCAACTGGTTTTGATTTAAAAAATACACAACTGTAAAGTTTGTGACCTGTATTTTGGCAAAACGGACACTTATTATGGTTATTATTATAATTTGAACTAGTACTTACATGGCTGTAATTTGCATTTTTATTATGGTGAGCTACTTTATTTTCAGGTAGAGCAACAGCTTCGAGAGCAGCAGCTCTATTTTCCAAATAAATAAGAAAATTATCCAATGTGGGCATCTGCAATTGATCCCTATCTATTTGATAAGCCCTATTCGTAAACTGATCGAGCTTTCTTGAAAGTATGCAAATTAAAAGAGCATCCCAAGCCTGCACTGGCTGTTTTAAATTTTTTAATGTACCGAGCTGTTGTCGTATTTTACTAATGAATTCCCTAATCCTATGGGAAGAACTTTTTTGAATGCTAGGAATATCTAGGAGAGCATAAATATGGGAGTTAACTAACAGTGACTCGTTATTGTATCTTTTCTGCAATATTTTAAAAGCCTCATCGTAAGAGTCATTTACAATAGGAAGATTATTGATGAGAGCAAATGCTTCACCTTTTAAATAATTTCTTAAATAGTAAAGTTTTTCAACATCACTCAAACTTTTATTTTTATGAATAATTGCTATAAACATGTCTAAAAAAGGTTTAAATTCATTTAGGTTTTTTCCATCAAAGGTTGGAATTTCAATATGCGAAAGCTTGGCAGTTGATACATTATTATTTGCAGAATTCGAGGCAGAATTATTGTTAGATATAGCTAACTGTGGCGAGACTATAGGCTCATTATTTCGATTTGCTGAGATAAACTCATTAATTTCTGCAATTAAATCAAGATAATCTGACTCAAAATCGTCATTAGTTACTGCATTTTTATTAATTAGACCTTTTTCGACTTGTATTTCTATAAAAGTGTTATAACATTCATTAGCTGTTACCTTGCGAGCTTGAAACTTCTCAATTAAAAGATTAGTAACTTCATCGTTCATCGTCCCTATGCTCTAGTAGAAACCTTTGAATTCTTTGCATTGTTTTTGTACACAAATTTTCTCTTCCAATTAATTTTTCCATGTTTTTCTTATTTATAGCCTTGGCTTCGGCCTTAGACATTTTAAAAAATTAGATAATACCAAGAAAATACGTAAAATTATTTGGATTGTGCCAATATAAATAAATTATTGGGTTCACTTTAATTTTAATTGCAATAATAAATAAATAGTAAACGTAAACAAGAAATTGTTCAGCTGACTGCCTGACTGGCCGTTGACAGTTGCTTTTGAAATTTAAAATTGGAACAGACTCACCATCTGTTGGCGTAATCTTGAACCTCTGCTACTGCTTACAGCGGTTTTGTTGTCGCTGTAGTTGACTTGAAGATGGCGCGAGTGGAGTGAGCCTGACAGATCCTTATTATTGATTGATCATTCCCGCCAATTTCCGAGGTTTTCAGTGGAGGAAAGGAGGAATCCATTTTGTTTTTCTTGCACAAACCATGACGCCACATTGCATTTTGCATTGCACAATATTTTATTATTTTTTCACTGAGCCGTTTATAGAAGGCACTTTTGGGCAAGCTCTGGACACTGCAAACAACACATATCACCTTTTTGCTTCATACTTTTCACTTCGCGGCACTTTATCCGGTTACGATTGGACCAAAAAAATGTTGGATTCTTTAAAATAATGAGAGTGGACTGTATTATTAATATATATACATTTATTTACACACACGACTATTTACACTATTTACAATTTGCATTTTCTCGTTTTTGTTTAAAATTTTGTTTTCTAAATATGCTAATATCAATGTAATATTTGCCAACATAGCTCAGTTTCCTGAGGAAAGACCTCCACCAGTTTGGTCAATATCTGAAAGATGAGGACAATACACTAATTGACCGTTAGTGTATTGTGGCGAGCGATATGGAGTGATATTGAATGATTTTTCCTCGTCCGAATTGAGAGTTCTATGTTTAAAGAATATTTGCCAGCAATAGGACGGTGCGACTGCGCGTCCAGAGAGACAATTTCGCGAAACGTTTATGGAAAATTAATTTCTTGGTTTGGGACTTCCATGGTAGTGCAGGTACCACAGATATTTTTATGGGATCATCTTAAATGATTAAGATGAAAGCAACGATGAAAGAGAAATAAAATATTCAAGCCCAGATACTCGAGAAAAGGAACACATCGTACATCGCACTTAGAGCGATCATTTAAATTGCTGTATATTTAATTTGTATGTAGCGCCAAAACTCTACTTTCTCCCCTACCATAGATACCTTTTTCTGGCTCGAGGTTGAACTGCGTCCAATGCGTATAGCTGGGGTATGTCAAGCAATTCCTAACTAAACTATCCGTAGATAAGCATAAAATAAACTGTTTCAAGTAATCCTCAAACATCTGTTTTATTTCGGGTCATCTCTTGATTTAAATGCAAAATAGGGAATCATCAAATACATAACATAAATGATGTTATGTTCAATTAGTAGCAGGACTAACATACTTAATTACGGTGCGCCCTGTACTTACCATTATCTACTGGTGTAACAGCTTTCTGTATTTTCTGATTTTGGTCACAAGTTGCAGCTGTGACAACTACAGCGGCCATCATGCTGCCAGAACCAGCAGTTACTGAGCTCTTATTGATGGCACTGTACCTCATCGGCATCATGCTCTGGCGCACGTTACGTTCAGGTCGAATCAGGATTATGTAGAGCTGAAAAGTTATATCGATGTCATTTTTATTTTATTTTCTGCTTCTGCTTACCTTTGGGGAAAACAAACATGTTAGAGTCACTGTGGCTGACAAGCTAATGGTGACAGACATGCTAGTTATTCTCAGAGCTACGTGATTGGCAGTACCAAAGTAAAGCGGGACAAATGCTAACCATATTACGCAAGTAGTATACATTGTGAAACCTGAAACAATGAAATAAATTTTTCAATTTATTAGACTATGTTGACAAAATAAAAATATTAAAACTTTTGTTTGAAGTTAAACAGAATAAAAATCAATATTCCTTTTGGTAAGGCTTCTTTTAAAGTCGTTGTGTGATTTTTCCCAAATTCTTTCCGATTTCCGCGTGATACTCGCATCTATAGTTTCAACCGGTTTTCTGACCTCATCATTTTTCTAGTAGGTATGATGTTGCATAATGACCTTTTTTTGTAGGTATTTGCGAACCGATAAATCACTTTCAGCTCTTGGATTGGGGTCTTGTATGAGTTCCTATTTGGCTTTTGAGTCACAAATAATGTTCAATCGAATATATAGTAGGTGGTTGACTTCTAGCTCGAGATTAGGATATATTCTGGTTATTTTTCTCACTGAATGACGTCAGCTGACTTGTTTGTACAGCTAAGATTTTTTAGAGATACTTCCTGCTCTCGGGAATTCAATTTGACTCTGAAATTTGTTTTTTCGAACACCTTTTCAATATTTAAATAATTGGTTTATATATACTTTGTCCAATAGAAATTTCTTTCTTGTATACTATGTTAAAACACGTATTGTATAGGTATTATATGAGATGACATAACTAGATAGGTACCTCTACTATACGGTAGTATTATTTTTATTTTTTTTAAATTTTTTATTGGCATCATTCTCCTTTCAAGTACGCTTTTAAGAGTCTTCCTCTAAACAATCCAAAAGTTGGCAAGCGTTTAAGGCCATTGGGTAAAGCATAAAATTTATCAGTCCCTTGTGAGTTGTGGTATACCTACTTCTTTTTCAGAGAAAGATTTATTTTTCTTGTAATATCTGTGGTTCCTGATTAAACAGTTGTTAATGTTCCCAAGAGTAAATGAATTATTTATCAAATAATCAGGTCTCATTCTATTATTTATTTTTTAGATGAAGATCTTTTTTTCTTACACTTTTCAACCGAATGCCAATTTAATTCTTTAGCAAGCTAACTAAAACTCAACTTTTGTAAGCCATTTGTTTCGTTTTTGATGGCCATTTTTGATATTGTTGTGCTACATGATGAAGGTATTAAATATTGTAAGTTTGGGCCATTCAGAGAATGATGAAGATATATACTAGGTCTTGATAGAAACTTGACTCTTTGATATGATATTTTGTCAATGATATGAAGAATATGTTCTTTAAATGATATATAGAGAATCGTCAATTGAAAAAGATAAAAATTGGGTATTCATTTATTAGCAAAAGCCGCCCGAAAATTTATTTTTCAAATAAATAGCTTGGCATTTGAACTCATTAGGCAAATTTATCAAGACTGCATTATTATACAATTACCCCACTTAACTCAAAAGGTTTTGTAAACCCTCAACAATACCTTCTGTTCTCGTAGTTATATATCTTCCGGTCTAGATCGTGAAATACCTATTTTAGTTAAGGCAACGATTTTACGCAAGTATATATTCCTTAGGATTTTCTTGATAGTATTGTTTTACAAAACAAAAGCGCGGGCGGGTAATCCATTTTCATCATTTACTTTTGAAGCAGGGCCTTTGTTTACTTAATACGGTGCAAATTCATTTTGCACACACTCAATCCCATTAAGAGAGGTCGAGAGGAACGAGGAAAAAAGCATATACCTCAAGCAATTCCTTATGCCATTGAATTCTCTGGCAGGTAACGAAGTTTTTAATTTTCTTGGCTGGGCATTAAGTGCGAAAAATTTATGAAGTGCCGAGGAAGGGTCTTGTGCTCATGGGGGAAAATCGCTATAAAATCCGAACTGGAAAATGGAGTTTATTTCCTAGTCCATTAAAAACTTTGCTCGTATATTTTGTTAATAAATAATCGTGTTAAAGTAAATTATAATTAAAAATCTTACTACCCCACGTGGAACAACTTTAATAAATGCTTACCGATGTGTTTGGATTCATTAAAAGCTTCTGGAATTTTTCTTGTCAAAACTGCATAAATGGTACACACAACAATAAGGAATATCGGATAAGTAAACGCTATCATGTATGATGCGTCTATATAGGATGAGCATACTAATAGGTTGTCTTCTCTTAGTGGATAATGGTGAATAGCTCTAGGAGGGGCGATTATCATCCATATTCCATTTATCAGTACCTGAATCAAACAAAAATATAATTAGATAATAATAATGTATTTTTTAAAAGCTTTTATGCCTAGTGGCTAGTGGTGCCGCGAGACGACACTAGACGAGACTTGAGGTTAGTCTCGTCTCGTCCCGACATCTCGAGACGAGACCGTGACTTAGTCTCGGTCTCGAGTGCCAAAGTCTCGTCTCGTCTCGAGTGGTCTCGTCTGGTCTCGCGTTATACAGGGTGTCCCGAAAATAGCGTAAAAACTGTCCACTACGTGGTGAAGGACCCTTCAAGGAACTCCAGAAAAATAATTCAAAAAATCTGGTGGCATTCTTAAGAAAGTTATTTACATTTTAATATTTATTAAATTTGGCAACACTGAAAATATCCCGTTGACAATATGTCAGAGAATTAAATACCTATGTAATTACCTGTAGAATTCGAAGGTGAATTTCCACATTTACCTCTTCATAATATTACCAAGAATAATGTTGGAGAAGGATTTTTTAAATTATTTTTCTAGGGTTTCTCAAAGGGTCCTCTACTACGTGGAGAGCTTTTAGGCTATTTTTCGGACACCCTGTATTTATTTTTATATTATAATGGAAGTCCAAACTGTCACAGTGAAAAAGTAGTTATTTGAAGAGTGAGAAATCACAGTAAAGAGTAACCGTGATATTTGAAACAATATGAACGTCAAAAAAAAAGAGTGTCGGACAAAACAGTTTTTGAAAAAGGAATCACTCTGTAATTTTTTTGTGAATTAATGGGATGCTTTCTACATACTCTATCTTCAGATCTAACTTCCAGTTCTGCCGAAAGTGCTCATGCTTTGAACATTTTTTTTGAATTGATCTCACTACTGGCTAAACCAAAAGTGGAATCTGAAAATTTAGTAGGTATCTGGAAATCACCCCATTAATTGTTAGTATTAAAATTTACTGATTTCATATTCAAATAGCCCAAAATAGTCCAATAATAAAGCTACGAAAGAAAAATTTTAATTGTAATCTCGAGACTCGAGACTACGCGAGACTCTCGCCCAGTCTGGTCTCGTCTCGTCGAGACTTCACGACACGAGATCAAAAGCCAGTCTCGTCTCGAAAAGTCGAGACGAGACGTGACGAGACGAGACCAGTATCGAGTCTCGCGGCATCACTACTAGTGGCGTAACCCCAAATCCGGGGCCCCCCGCACGGATTTTCCACGGCCCATCTTTTATATATGCATATATTTTTATTTTTTATTTTTCTTTATATACAGGGTGTCTCACGACGTTTGACCCAGATGATAACTTCGTAACGCGTCATCCAATATAATAATTGAAATGTTGAAGATCTGTGTAACTTTTTGTGCCGCTTCTACATGTGTCATTCAGTTTCACCACTTTCGCTTCAGTTTCGGTCAAGTGACGGCAACTTTAGAATCACAAATGGATGGTATATTATGGCATTTTTTGTTACAAAAGTAAATTACAAAATCGGCAATGCCATATTTGTTAAGGCTTTGTTGAAGAAAAGTATAAAAAATTAGAAAGTGGAACCTTCGATGACGCGTTCCGAAAATATCACCTGGGTAAAACCTCGTGGGACACCCTGTATATATGTATATGAACAAATAAATTGTATTCTGATATAAATATATAAGTACATATACAGTGACCGCCAAAAAGTTTACAACAAATGGGAAAATATTTTATTATTAAAATATCAAAAAGAATGTTACGTGGGATCAATTCAGCATACCTATCAACAAAAAAAGCACTGTGACAGATGTCATGTGACCACAGTTATGGCGGGAAATTTAAAAAGATCGCCTCAAATATGTAAAAAGTGGGGTTAGATGACCAGAAATCAAAAAATTGTAGAGAGAAAAGTGGTTCAGAATCCGATTTTACGTCTATGTGTCAATTTTTGAAAAGGTACAAGGATTTTTAATAAATATCAATTTTTTGGTCTGTTTTCTGGTAATTTGGAGAATATTAAAAACTTTTCGGAAAAATATTGATTTAATCGAATTTAGAAAAGAGGTATTGGATCATTTAGAAAGATTTTATGATAATTCCAAATTTGTTATTTCAAATTTTTGCTTTCTGTAGGTCATTGCAACAAGATCAGAGTGGTCTGAAAATGAATTTTTGGGTTTTTACAATTTTCCGCGGGAAAATTAAGCAGAATGACTGCACTGGATTTTTGTTTGGTTAGTTTCACTTTGTATTATATGGACCAAACGAAAAGTTTTTGATTTTTTTCAAATTACCAGAAAACAGGCCAAAAAATTGATATTTAAAAAAAATCCTCGTACCTTTTTAAAAATTCACACATAGACGTAAAATCGAATCCTGAACCAATTTTCTCTCTACAATTTTTCGATTTCTGGTCATCTAACCCCACTTTTTACATATTTAAGGCGAACTTTTTAAATTTCCCGCCATAACTGTGGTCACATGACATCTGTCACAGTGTTTTTTTTTTGTTGATGGGTATGCTGAATCGATCCCACGTAACATTCTCTTTGATATCTTAATAATAAAATATTTTCCCATTTGTTGCAAACTTTTTGGCGGTCACTGTATAATATATGTATATGATATGCATTTGCCCAAAATGTGTAGTAGAATGAAAAAACGCTTTTATTTCCAGTTCAAAAATAGAAAAATATAACATATCACTTATCTACCCTACTTGTTAATATAAATAAACAAAACATCACTAGCATCGTTTAAAGAAAATAATATAGAGATGCATCACTGAACTAGAAAATATTAAAAAAAGAAGAAAAATTCTCGTGAGGTGGAATAAAAGAAAAGCAAAGAGAAGACCAAAACCTGAAAATCCGTTCTGCGGGCCTTGTGGTTGGCAAATGCTATAACTATTTCGGATGCGTCCATACTTTTCCAATGGTAGGTATGTATTATGAGGTTCATAGGTTAGAGTATTGTCTTTTAGTTCACTGTATGCCTAGAAAAATAGTTTTCCGTTATAATCATTTCAATTAGCCAATTTGCTACCAGCCTAAATTTGGCCCGAGGCCCATGTATACCAAAAGCAGTGCCAGTTTTGTCGTTATTTTTGTCTTAAATTAAAAGACCGGCGTCAGAAAATGTTACAGGTCCAAGAAGACAGACGACAGAAAAAAAATAAAGATGAAGACAGGAGGCAAGGGAGCAAAAACAGAAACATATTGCCATTTTCGCCGAAGAATTCCACAACATTCGAGAAGAAGTCAAAGACGAAATAGAAAAATTGGGTTCTACTGGAAATAAAAATGTGGCTTCTAGAATTTTCTTTCGAAAAGAGCACCTATATTTTGACTTACGATCCGGTACATGATAAAGTCTTCGCATACTAAACCATCATATTCATAAATCCTAATTATCATAAAAGTTTATATTCTAATTGAGCTTGACTTACCTTGACCGCGACGAAAAGTAGATATATATTTATGTTGATGAAAAACGCATATTCTTTCAATTAAACAACAGATATTTTATTACAAAATCGCAAAAAGTCTGTAAGCAACCAGCTCGGATTACATAACCACAAGCAACGTTGCCAGACGTATTATTTCTCGGCCTCTGTTAGCCATATTGATGAAGATTTTGTAAATTGAAATAGGGATTGTTGAAGGTGGAAGATAATGTTTCACTAAATAAAAAATCATCTTGTACATTTTTCACCTAATCAAATCCACTCGAATTTGAAATGTCAACACGATGTCAAAATCTCAACCAATTTTGATAATACATTCAATAATATTTCTAGATTACGTCCTTAGTGTTTGAGATAGAGATAATGGGTTCCGAAGTCATAAATCCATTATCTCTTCTCTATCACATTCAATAATCTAATTATTTAGATTGAGTGTCCTTATGTTTTGATTACCGATGTGTGAAATAGGTATAGGACGCCATAAAAAAGTAAAGGTGTATCTGAAAATTGTTAACTTATAAGTCGACATGTCGGCAATTTTTTGAAAAAACTTTTTATTTATTGGGTGCCAAATTTGCTATTTCCTACACTTACAACCAATAATTTAAGCTTAAGAAACACTCAAAGACAATAAAGGCAGAGCCAAGTGGAAATTATTGACTAAAAACGTTCTGGTAACCCACTTGAACGGTAAATCGGAGAAAATTCCTTTAAGGACCTTGCCTGAAATTTCAATTATATTCGAACAAGAAAATTTGACCCTTGTCGTGCATACTTGTCTCTGTTGTCACCTTTAACGGATGGAGCAAAATATGGAACGAAAAAGCAGTGTTTCAAGTGACACTTTTCGTTGAAGGGCGTTACACGAAATTCCATTAGGTTTCTTCCAGTCTGGAATTTTTCCGGTTATCAGATTTTCCGCAGGCCGAACTGGCTGTGTTAAAAAACACTTTGTCATCGGCTGTGGTCTTGCCTGGTCATAACCGGGATCAGTGGATCATTTTTCAGCTACATTTAGAAATAAAATCTGATACGATAATGTTTTCACTACAGCGACGCGTTTATCATTAAAGAATAAAAAGATGGATGAGTTATTTAGGGATGCAGATACAGGAAGTTTCTTTTATCAAAATTCATGTTGAAATCCAATTTCTGACAGTTGCCGTTCAATTTACCTAATTTATTAGAAGTTTACAGAAAAATGTTTATACTGTCACGGCTCTGGCTTGCGTGACAGAAATCTTGGGTCCGTTTATTTCAAAAATCAAGGTCCAATTAACACAACAATAGTTTATTCCACGTTACTATACACTCTGACACTAATTACTTTACTAATTAACTCGAACAACTTAACTCTTTAAAACTCTTACAAAACTCACTATTTAAATCGTATCGCAGTCAATCTTAAACTTAAAAACTACTAACTGATACCGGCTTTTATATATCCGTAATCTATTCTTGCAAAACCCAGAATAAACGTGATTGACCTTTTTCCCGAAGAGCAACGTAAAATCTAGAATCAGTTGTCCAATTCTGTACACCGTGGCGGATGCGCCACTTTCTGTGACACTGCCCTCCTCTCAAGGCTGATCGTCCCGATCAACTTCGCGCCTATGATATTTCGTCAATCAGTCTAGATGTACAACTTTCATCTTACTCCTGGTGTTGCGCTGAACTCGATAAACCAAATCATTGATTCTCTTGATTATTCTGTAGGGTCCTTCCCATGCTGAAGACAATTCCAGCGACACTCCTTTCTTTCTTGTTGGATTACACAGCCACACCAAAACACCTTCTTGAACTTGAAATTCGGCTGAATTGGCTTTCAAGTCGTGTCTGGTCTTCATTCGGTCACTGGCCAGCTGAATATGCTCCCGAGCAAAATCATGTTTCCCCAGAAGTCGTGCCCTTACTTCGTCGGCATAATCTCGAATTTCTTTCCGTTCTTCTTCGGGTATTCCAAACATCAGATCGCGAGGTAACCTGGGCTGGAACTCTGTAACGAATAGAGACATTTTCTCTATTGACGTCTCCTCTCTATTGATTTCGACAAGAAAGAAGAAGACAGCAAGTGCCATAGCGATAGGGATAACGATCCTTATCCGCTACAGAGTTCCAGCCCTGAGTTCCCTTCCAAGAACAATTCTAGCTGGACTTCCACCTGTTGAATCGTGAACAGCTGCTCTGTAAGCCATTAAAAATAGAGGCAAGTGTCCCAATCTCGCTGGTTCTTTGCGACCACTTTTGTCAGGTGTTCCTCTATGGTCTTATTAAATCGTTCTACCATGCCATCAGACTGTGGATGTAAAGGTGTTTTCCTTGTCTTATGAATGCTCATGATCTCACAAATCTTCTTAAAGATGGCAGAGTTGAAGTTTCGTGCCTGATCTGAATGTAACTCTAGTGGCACACCATGACGACTAAAAACTTCGTCCACTAGCATCTGAGCAATAGTGATGGCTTCTTGATTGGGAATAGCGAAAACTTGAAGTTCCTGAAGTTCCGTCATGTATTTCTTTTATTACTTCTTCTACTCGATCTTTTGGAATAACTAGTTGGCTCTTCGTAGTTTTCCCATCAGCACTTCCCAAACTCTTTTCAGTAAACCATTTTCTACGTCCAGAGATTTCCAATGAGCCCACAACGCTTTATGAATCAAACTCTTGTTCGAAACTTCCCTCTATTCTGGCCCACATTCATCATTTTCTTTCAGATGTAGAATTTGTCCGATGTCCTGTTTTGCCTCTTGATCTTCTCTCATTTGTTTGGTAGTCCATTTGTCATCAACGATCAGACCCGTTCTTCTCACAGCTGGACCAGTGTTTTTCTCATGCATATCAATTTTTTGACAATGCTTGCAATCTTCTTTACATGGCCGTCTAGACAGAGCGTCAGCATTTTTATGCAGGTTTCCAGGTCGATTTTTAATTTGGAAATCGTATTGCTGCAATTTCTCAATCCATTTAGCAAGCTGTCTTTCAGAAGTTTTCATTTCTAAAAGCCATTTTAGAGCTGCGTGATCCATTCGAATTAGATACTCACGTCCGTAGAGATACTTATGGAAATGGTCGACTGCTTTTACTATGGCGAGCAACTCTCTTCTGGTGACACAATAATTTCGTTCCGGCTTTGATGAGGTTTTACTATACTACTCTACGACATGCTATTGTACATTTTTGATTTGTGAAAGGACAGCTTCAATACTGGTGTTGCTTGCATCTGTGTCCAAAATCAACATGCCTTTCTGATCAGGATAGGAAACACTGGGCTTGTACATAATGTTCCTTTCAATTTTCTAAAAGCGGATTCGCATTCTTGGGTCCAATTGAATGTTGATTTCTCTTCCGTTAATCGATGAAGAGGAGCAGCTATATTAGCGAATCCTTTTACAAATTTTCGATAATAATAACATAATCCTAGAAAACCCCTTAGTTCATGTTTGTCGCCTGGTTTTGGCCAATCCCTGAGATCATCTATCTTTCCTTCCATAACTTGTATGCCATCTTCAGATACCACGTGTCCTAAGAATTCCACTTTCTTTTGGAATTAAGAATTCCACTTTCTTTTGGAATAGAAAACATTTGGATTGAGTTTTGAGTTGGCATTGCGGAAGCGGTCAAAAACTTTTTTCAGGTTATTGAGATGTTCTTGAAACGAATTTCTCATGATCATGAATTCATCTAAATATACCAGGCAAGTTCTCCATGTAAGGCCTCGCAAAACAAGATGCATCAGTTGCTCAAATGTAGGTGGAGCATCACACAATCCGAAAGGCATTACGTTAAACTGGTATAATCCGCTTCTGGTACTGAAGTCAGTTTTCTCTTTGTCATCTTTGTGTATTGCCACTTGCCAGTATCCACTCTTAAGAGTCAAGGTGGAAAACCAATTGAAGCCCGATAGAGTTGTTAATGTATCATCTATCGTCGGGAGAGGGAAGCTGTCCATCCTGGTGACGTCAATAACCTTTCGGTAGTCCACACAAAATTTAAGTATTCCATCCTTGTTCATAACCAATACTACTGTCGCAGACCATGGACTATTTGACTCTTCAATAATTCCCTCCTGAAGCACTTTATCAATTTGGTTTTCCACTTCCTGTTGTTTAGCTATTGGCATACGTCGGGGTGGTTGTCTAATTGGGTGTGCCAATCCAGTATTAATTTTGTGTTGAATTAAACTGGTCCTTCCGGTTTGATTATCCATCACAAATACGTCTGCTTCTTTCAGGATGAAATCTGTGGCTTCCTGAAGTCTAACTGGATCGAGGTGTCTCCATGATTTCTCCAAAGTCTGCATCAAGGTGTCTGTATCCGATTTCGGTTTTAAAAAATGTCGCTTATCTGAAAGGTCACAGTTCGATATTTCCTTAACTGGTTCGACAGTTCCAATAATATCTCCTTCCCTTATTTTTACTGTTTCAGAAGAAACATTGGCAATTCTTATCATAATGTCTCCATTGGTTCTTACTAGAGTTTTTCCAACGAGAAATTTTTTGGTTTATCTCCAGCAAAATTATGTGTTAGTCCATCGCAGCACCCAGGGTCTGTTTCCAATTTTCCGCAAATGATCTTCTCAGTACTTCCAGGAATCTTTACCGGGTTAGTGGCTAGGATCTGAACGGCTTGAGATTCTTCTTGTGTAGTTAGGACAAATTCTTCTTTACCAAATTTAAGAATGTTCATAGAAGGATCGAAAGAGAAACCATGTTGGCCGATCAAATCCATTCTCGAAATAAAATCATCTTCTTTTCGGTAACTAATGTTCTGTGCCTAAATGTGATAGATTCAAAAGTAAGCTCAACCATAGCTCCTTGAACTGATGCCGATTCGCCCGTGTCTCTTCGTATTGACAGGTTTCTAGTGAGCGGTTGGATTGCCCGAGACTTGACTAATGTTCTTCTTATTATTGAAACTTCGGCACCCGTTTCAAAAGTGAT